GTTTCCAAGGAGCAGCTGGTGGATTCAAACTGCTGACCTTTTGGTTAACAGCCGAGCTCTTAACCACTGTGCCACCAGGGCTCTCTATATATACATATATGTACATATATATATGTACACATACACTAACAACTAGACCAGTTTAGAGCATCTTTATTTTCATTTGGGAAACCCTGGTTGCATAGTGGTTAAGAGCTACAGCTGCTAACCAAAAGGTGAGCAGCTCGAATCCACCAGCTGCTCCTTGGAAATGTTTTGGGGCAATTCTACGTTGTCCTATAGGGTCACTATGAGTCAGAATCGACTCGACAGCAACGGGTTGGGTTGGTTGGGTTATTTTCATTTTAATGATATAAATACATAGGTTGAAGCTCTCATATGGGCACATGTCAACTACTCTTCACTGTGAAGTTAGTTTGATTCTGGGTAAGACAAGTCTCAGGGTCAGACAAGTACCTTACAGGCAATTAACAAAATGTTTCAATTTCTTTTAGTCTTACCCTGCCAATGCTTCACTCCTAGAAATATTTATATATTTTTACATCTCCATAAGAAAGAAAAAATTCAAAGGAGTCAAGACATGAATATCTGTAATAAAAATAAAAAGAAGAAAGCATACCTGGGTAATCTTCAGATACATGTACCGAGTAGGATACACTGTTAAAAAAGGGGAAAAAGGCTCAAGTTACTGCTAAGATATATATGCTTTTAGAAAATAAAAACTAATCCAATATTACCCATTCATTTATATACATATAAGTATAAATAAATAACATCCAAAATGGATTAGCAAACCTCTTTGCTATTTGACATAGGAAACACAGATTTTGTAACATTCACATTCAGTAAGTCTAAATAGCTTTCTAGAACAGGTTTAAAATAAAATGCTTCCTCCCAACAGTGATGATTTTTAGTATAAGTCTTTTTATTTCAGCAGTGTCTAATATCCCTGAATTTATGATCATTTTTGTTGTTCAGATGATTTTATAAAATTATATTTTCTTACCCTCTCACAAAAGTATTCTTCCTATTTAGTATGGCACTCAAGAATTTAAATATTTACTTTTAACACTGCTTCCTCACAATATGCTGTGCTTTTAAAAAATGTCCTTTTCTTCAAAGAATCAGCAAAATATGGTGATGAAAGTATGACTAACAGATAATTATTTTTCATCAGTCAATCTTTCATCATTACTATATATATTATACATATACGTGTGTGTGTATATAAAAAGTAAAGGACCTACAGCTGTGTTCAGAGGATTGAGTTGTTTCAAAAATAACTAGATTGCAAGCCTCTTGAGGTTAGGCTCTATATCTATTTGTATTTTTATTTCAGTCATCTATGTTAGTGTATGACATACAGCGTATGTACAATATTAGCTTTTTAAATGGATGAATGGGGCTGCCACCCACCATTGGGGAGTCAAAATTTAGTTTGCGTTGAGCCAAATTAACTGCCTGCTAAAACAAACCAAAAAACCCCATTCTCTTTGAAGGAACATACAGAATAGTCTATGCAAGGTATCATTCACAAAGTACAGTATACAATACAAAATTACTTGATATACAAACAAATAGGAAAAAAGTAACTTACATTCAAGAAAAGAGATAATCAAGGGAGACTGACCCTAAGATGACTCTACTGCTGGAGTTAGCCAACAAGGATATTAAAGCAGTTATAAGTATAGTTAAGGATGTATGCTTATAATGAATGAAAAAAGAAATGGAAACTATAAAAAGATCCAAATGAAATTCTAAAACTTAAAATACACTATTTGAAATGGAAAAAAAATGTGGATGAGCTTAATAATAGCATATTGGAGATAAAGCAAGAATCAGTAAGCTTAGAGATCGAGCAACAGAATTAACAAATTTGAAGAGATAAACAAACAAAAACAGACCATCACAAACTTGTAGAACACTAACAAAAGAGCAAACATATGTATAATTAGAGTTGTAGAAAGAGAGGAGAGAGAATAATGCAAACAGTAAGCATAAAAAGACTGAAATGTCTAAATGATAAAGACTTCAAGACAAAGAATAATACCACAGATAAAAGAGGAATCTTTCATAATGATAAAAGGGCCAATTCATCAGGAAGAAGATATAACAATCATAAATGCACACGCATCTACTAACAGAACTTCAAAATACATAAAGCAAAACCTGACAGAATTAAAGGGAGAACTAGACAACACTACAATCATAGTTTGAATAATTTACAGAAACCAGAACAAAATAATAATAATAATTATTAAAGGCAGAAGGTCTGAAATTGATTTTCATAGAACACTACAACTGTAGAATACTTATTCTTTTCAAGTACACATGATATATTCACCAAAAGAGACCATATACTGGGCTATCAAACAAGTCTCAATAAATCTGAATGGATGGATGGACACAGTTCATCATAGTTTACACCCTGGCTTTCCTGGCTTATGACACTAAATCGTAAGTTCCTGAAAAGTAACTGCCTTTTAAGTCTTGTAACTGAACTTAGGTCTCTGTGACTGTAGTCACAACGCAATGCAACCTTCAAGTCCAAGTCAGGTCCCCAAGACCTCACTAGTCACGTTTCTGGCATGCTGCTTAGTCTTTGGAAAGAGATTAGACAGACACAAGAAAGATTAAGTAGGTGCGTAGGAAAAAAAAAAGATGGTTAGCAAGGAGGCCAGGTATTGATATACTGTTCATTCATTCAACATATTTAATTGTTCAATTATTAATTCAACAAGCATTTTTTAAATAACCTAGTATATGCCAAACATTGTATTAATGACAAGAGTTAGATATAAAACAATCAGAGGATCTAAATTTGGACAAATAATTCAGAGGGAAACAGAAAGTTAAACATAGAATATGCTAAACAAGTTAACTTGAATATTTTATGGCACATTAGTAATTGTTTTTTACTTTTTATTCTGAAATAATTATGGCATCCCATGAAGTTGCAAAGATAGTTCAGAGAAGTCCCACGTAGGCCTGACCCAATTTCCCCCACTGGTTACATCTTAGATGTTTATAGTACAATGTCAAAAAAAAACAAAAAAACAAAAAAAAAAAACACCGGGATACGGAGTATTTATATTGGTGTAAAGTATGTGTATGCTCTATGTTATTTTATCACATGTGTATATTCAGGTATCCTCCACCACAAACAAGACACAGAACTATTCCATCATTCAAAGATTTCCCTCATGCTACCCTTTAGATTCATATCCACATCTCTTCACCTCAACATCCCTAAATCATTAATCAGTTCTCCACGCCTACAACTGTTTTCATTTTAAGAATAATACATAAATGGAATCAGAGTATGAACATGATGGCATTTAAAGGCACCATCAGTATTGAAAAAAACTACTCTGATAGGCAATATTTAGGAGAGACTGAAGAAGAGAGAAACCAGACTAAGAGGCTATTGTAGTAGTAAAATCTAAGCAGATTATCACTGGTACGGTATGTAACAGGAATCAGATGGCAGAAACAAGTAGCAGATGTTGGACCCCATACTTCCTGGGAGGCATAGTCCTGAACCAAATGCCAAGGATCAGAAGATATTATCCATGGCAGTTGTGCCTCAAACAAGCTGGAGGAAATATACATTATGAGCCATATGGATTTATTTCCCTATGATTCTCTCCCTTGTAGAGTGAAACTGTATTATGTAGAAATAAAATGACTGACAATCAGACCAACCCTTCTGATCTGGCAGTACTGCCTTACCTGATAGGAGACTGGCACCTCACCACAGACTATACTCAGTATCAAGCTGAATTAACCCCCATCAGTTTACAACCTCAACCAAAAGCAGTTGGGTTTATTCTCCATCCAAATCGATTTCTAAATCTAAAATGAAGCCTTAATTCGTTTGTCTAACTCCAGTTAGGGATCCTGTTGTAGTTAGAGTCAGACCGATAGGAATCAAATTCCAACTTTAAGTCTTAATAGCTGGGTGGCCTAAGAAAAGTTACTTAAACACTTCAGCTTCAATCTCTCTTTGGTAAAATGGAGGAAATCATATCTACCTTACAAGCCTGCTGTGATGATTTAATGACTTAACAGGTGTAAGGCCCCTAGGACAATGCCAGGCACACAGCAGCAGGTGCTGAGCAATTTTAGTTAGCTTCCAGCACAAGCAATTAAAATTTACAGAAGTAAGATTTTATATGAATGAATGTTCTCTGGAGAACTCAATTTACTAAAAATACAAAATCACATTTACCATACCAATGCTAAAACTAAAGACTTTATTTCATTACTGCATTATGCTCATGATATTAGCAGACATTTCCATGTTCACAACCATATCTAATTTTTCAAACACGAAATAGAAAGCCAAAGCCCTACGAAATGATTTATCAGGTCTATGTGTTATAGCATTTTCTTCGTAGTATACCAGAAGGAAAATTACCAGGGCTGTAAAATTCTAATCAGTTTCACTTTGTGGCTTACGGAGTTCTTCGGGAAACAATCTCGTACAAGCAGACATGGATTAGTAAACTAAAGGACCTAATAGGTACGGCCAAAAAAAAATGAGTGAAGAACCAAGTTTAAATAGAGTTCACAGTAAGGTTATTATGTACTAAATAAATATTATAAAGCAAGCAGAAATAGTGTGGAGAAATGAAAGTGAAAGAAGGTGAACATGAGAAGGAAGAAAAAACCTGGAGCGAGCTCTGAATTCTGATTCAGGAAAATATGCCTTCAGAATTTTCGAATAGGCTAAATTACAATTACACCAAGCTGCTTTGCCAGAAAAACTCAGGAAAGTCAATATGCACTGCACTGTACTAGGTTCTAAAATCACAAGTTTGAAACTAGAATCTGTAAGTTATTTCTATTACTTCAAAAATGTATTCAGCAAAACAGTTACATCTAACTCTTATTCCTCTGAAAGCAGTCACCTTACAGAGAACTAGTAGTGTGTATGCAGGAGCCTTGCTTGTTGTCTTGTAGTTAATTACTGGTGAACATGGAGGAGAAACATCTGGCCAAATCAAAGGCATCTGTCTAGCCAAGAACTCCTCAAAGAGTTTCTAGGGGAACCCTCAGGTGTTTGACAGCTACCTAATCTTATATTTTGTTTATTTCTGACCTATTTTCTAAACTTAAAATCTTTCGTAAGGATGTTATTCTTGTCTCTAAACTCAGCACTACTGAATCCCAAGTTCATACCTTTTCAACTACACCCAGTGGTTGTGACAGAGAAGAAACCACCACTATTTTATTGCACAGTGTCCTTTTATTTTATCCTCCAATAAACTGCATCCTTACATCTCTCATCTCTCCCAGTTAGATCAGACTTTTAGAATTTACAAGAGAAAAAACAAAATGCAGAAACTAACAAAAACAAAAAACAAAAAAAACTGCTGTTAATGGCAAGCAGTCCTCCACCCTAGCAAAAAGGCTTATATGTAAAGGCCTCAAATTTTTATGTTCACTTCCAAGTCAGCTGCTTCATTAATAATATCATCATTATTATTTACTCCTACACATAGACTTCCTTCCCTGAAACACTCTCCACTCCTCCTTCAAGACTTGATCTCAAGGACAAATTCCTATAAAACTTCTCCAACTCCCCAGGCTGACTTGGCGCTCCTTCCCCTAGGTACCCACTTCCCCTTGACATTAGCTGTCTTCTAGACTGA